ACTTTTTAGTGAACTGGAAATTTGCATTTTTTCAAAAAGTTTGCATTTGTCGTTTTTTCATAAAGCGAGCATTTACCGAAAAAATGATCGGACTTCAAGCAAAAGCCGATAATCGTGCAGCTGGATGTCCGTGCGGTTCTGTAATGCACCACCCTCATCCCAACTGACGCCCTTTCTTCTGCATGCCGGAAATGATCAAAACACAGCCAATATGAGCCCAAGTGTTGGGCTACAGCGTAATATTCTTGCTATAGCGATCTGACAATTTAGTGCACAAACGCATGATCGCACCGGAGAGCCCGGTGCGTTTCAGCCTGGGTTAAGTTCTTCATTTGCTTCTCTGAATTAATCAGATCAGTGAGGATCAGAATTTTATTTCATGCAGCTTGTTTCATATGATCTGATAAACTGATGTATTTCTAGTTGTATTTTTTTTCTGATTTTTAAAATTACCCCGAATTTGAGTGGAAGGTTACAAGTCGAGACATTAAATGAATGTGAATTGATTCCAGACCTGTTGCATGGCACTGATGCACTAAACAGAGTCGCAAACATGTAGGACGCGCGGAAGGGCTATCTATCCCTGTGAATGCAACAGAATGAAATATATCTAAAGACCATAAAAAAGTGAGAAAAATGCTTTTCAGGAATTGAGTCGGAAATGTCAGTCATTTACTGTTAATATGCTGGAGCAAGTACGTGGGTCAAAAGAGCTGGAAATCGTGTTGAACCACACGACGAATGCTTGGGAAGAAGTGACCGAGCGGAAAAGTACCAGCCTTTGTCAACAACTTGCCAGGCTGAAACTAGCTATTAAGCTTAGACAAAAAAGGGTTTGTTTTTCTGTCATCAATGGATAACTATCTGACAAATAAAAAACTGAACTTGGTGGGAACAAGCAGAATGAAGGAGAGGCCGGACTGAAGAAAGCTTAGGATGGAAGGACGAAGAAATTGTTCCACAGAAGCTCCAATCATTTTCTTGAAATTGCATTTCGAAAATTTTTTTAAAATAATTTTTGCTGGCTCCTACGATTCATGAAATAATTGGATCAGTCGTATTTTATAGTAAAAACATGACGAATTAAAAAACTGAAAAGTTTTTAGTTCGTTGCGCATCCCAATTGTCAGCAGTTATTGTCCGCAATTTTTTACGAAGGGTTGCCGGGCTTTCGCGACTGGCATATTGCTGTCAAGGTTAGCTAAGCGTCTTCTCATAACAACACTTAATTATATTACAGTTTTGATTATACGAATTTCGAAAAGCTTTGTATCACAAAAACATCGAATTTTCAGTGATATGTGTTTTTGCTGCGCAGCGCTATAGCGCTGATACATTGAGCAATAACGCATATTGTCGAATGGTCACTCGTGTGTGCGTATTCGGAGGCGAGTGAACTTTTTCATCCACTTTCAACTAAGAAGTCAGGAAAGCTGGGAGGATGGAATTTTGAAGGCATATTCTCGCCCATGTATCACCCTCCTGCTTTAAAAACATCGTTCTTAATCGCTCAGACCTCGCGTACGGACCTCCAAAAAATATGAAAATTTCTCTGGCGGGAGAACGATTTCGTGTACCAGTCCAAATAGAGAGTTGAAACTTTGCAGGGATATTCTCAATGCGTGTATGAGTTAAAGGTTTCAAATTCAGCTGTCGCACACGTTTATACTGAGCGTACAGTCTCGTCAAATTTTGCACTGTGCTATCTTGAAAACTAGCTGGAAAACAGTAGCTGAAATTTTGTCAGAATAATATTTGTTGTTCATATGCAAAGTCATTTACTTAAAATGACTTCTGATTTGCAGTTGCGCCACGACTTAGGGCATCTTAAAGATATTTGTAGCGAAGTGGCTATTTCACCTGGCAGAGAACCTGCGAAACTAAGCTTTTACAAGGATATTCTATATTCACGTGTGGTCTTGAATTAGCTTGGAGGTAAAATTTCGTCCACGAGTATATGACAAATACTCGGTTTTGTCGTAAACTCAAAAGCGAGTGAATTTTACGGATTTCGTAATCTCTTTCCGATTTCCTTAAAATTTGCACTCTTTCAATGAACTAGCATTTACTAGAAAATCGACTAGATTTCACACAAAAAATTGGTAATCACGCACGCCGAAGGTTCACGTGGCCCCATAATGCAACACCCTCATTCCAGCTGGCGCTTTTTCTCCTTGCATGCGAAAAAAGGGAAAAATAGCCAAAATGGGCCTAATTGTTAACTACAGCGCAAGAACTGTTTCTGCTGATAAAGATCTGTAGGTTTAGTGCAAAAGCACATTATCGCGCCGGCAATCCTACAGCATTGCAGCCTGAGGTTAACCTATCATCAAATGATTCCAATAATGATTATTCTATAAAGTTGGCTGACAATGAACGTGAAAACTTTGAAAACAGTAGTGACCCAGGTAATGCAGTCCGATGAACAGAGAAGCCGTTTTGCAGTGGCTCATTTCATTCTCATGGTGTTTTGGTTTAGATTTTCGGTAGTTACTAAAACTCGGCTCGGCTAGCTCTCGGCTGCCTCGGCCGGACCTCGGCCGCACCTCGGACGTCTCGGCTCGCCTCGGCCGGCCCCTGGCAACGGCATTATCGTGAAGCATAGAGTGGGAGAGCGGAACGGGGAGGTGAGGGGACAGGCAGGGGAAGGGGGAAGAGGCGAACGGGGAGAACGTTGGCA